CGGGCCGGGCGTCGGCGAGCCGGCCCGTACACGAGTACGGAACCCAACCTGGCTTGGGTTTCCGGGCCAACCCTGGTCGGGTCGGGTTCCGGTCGGGCCCAGGCCTAATTATTCACACGCTAAAGATGTATTATTGGCATGGTTACAAGTCAATATTCAACAATATATATTTAACATTTAGTATTCTTTGCACTTATTAATTAAAACGACCTAGTTTCCATCTCATAGAGAAATAAAATATAGAATAGTTGGTTTATAAAATGTAATCACTGTTCACGTAAACAATTCTCGAAAAGATAAGCTGAGCGACCTGTCAATATGTACCGCAAGTTGCTCAGTAATCCACTATCGTTGTCGGCGACTACAGTATAATTAATAACAGTTGTATAATGGATTCCTAAAATAAAGAGATTTACTCCTCTTTCACAATTCTAGTTGGATCTGAAATCTGCAACTCTTTGCGACCAAAATAATTTTTTCTCTTTCTCAATCAAAATAAAGCAAAACTACCTCTGAAATAGTAAGCCTTCTTTCGTCAAATAACAGTTGCATACCTTATGGTTTACGTAACTTCGCATTCATATATCATTTCTTCGACATTTTAATACCCTTTTGTTTTTTTAAAACATCACACCCTCTCCTTTAGTTTTTTTTTTTTTTTCTTTTTCTCCGCGGCCCTTTTTTTTTGGGGGGGGGCGCGGGGAAGCGGGGTAAAAAAACTAACTGTATGGCCTTTTTGCCCCCTCTGAAACTTTGGTTAATAATCTCAAATACAACCCAGAAAAAAACTTGCTTGCAGGCACATTAAAGATAAGTTCCATAAAACACAGGTAGAGGTGCTCACATATATATAGTCACAACTACAGTAGACATAAAATACATGGATTAGTTTCTAATCCATCCAAACCACAAATAACATTATTTATCTAACATTTTCTTCTTAATTCGGTGCCTCCACGTACAGAAAAATATCCCCGTTAAGGAAAACCATAAAATTAACTTCAAAAGGCACCATTTCCATAGCTTCACCGTCACGGGGCAACAATTGGGTATGATGCACAAGTGGCCACGCCTGCAAAAAGTACAAAATGGATCAACTTTTAATCTAACTGCTTCAACATAAAAGAAAATTTATCAAGGCGTAATTAAATACTAAACTTAGGGCATGAGCGTGCATTAATAGTACATGTTAACTTAACTTGATAGTTATAAAATTATAATCCTCAACCTTTGCCTTAACTACGAGTCTACGAATGTTTGGTGCAGAAAAAAAGATTTTATGACAATATCAGACTTATAATCCAACTTCAAATCTCAAAAGACATGCGTTTAAAGCAAATTTAAAAAAATATTAATGAATTAATATCCAAGGTATCAGTATGGCATGTTAAGTTATATAATCATGAGTGCATTTGGCCTCCCCTTAAAATCAGGTCAGGATTAATGATCTTGACCAGGTTAGTTTTGTGTTTGAGAAATATTTTAGGGCGAAATTTGGCCCTAAAACCAATTTTGTTCTGGTCTCCCCTTCTCGTTCATTCCTAACATATGGCTAGGATAAAAACAATTAATTAGAATCAATCATGTTGTGGTTTTTGAGGATTTGCCAAAGACACCTTATATCTCTCAAATCACATCACAACTTTAAAATTTTAGAGGGAAAGTGGCTACATCTGTCGTGTAGGGAGCTTTATGAGATGCTTTACCAACATGGTTTTGCCAGTTCATTCTAAAGTAGCCATCCATACCCCAGTCCGCGCCCCATGAGTTCTTGATGAGCCAATATGGCATCCCATTCTCTACGCCATAACCCACTGCCACGACTGCATGGTTCACATCCTACAGAAACAATGTATGACAATGAGCGTATATCAACACCACAAACGTAATCCTAGAATATTTTTCTTTTAGAATATAAAATTATTACTCTTGACCCTTGGCATAACTTTAGAATTTAATTAGTATAGTGATAGAGACAAGCATTTAATTAGAAAGCAAATTAACAAAAAAAAACATACTGCCTTTTAAAATATAAAGTTATAATCCCAGTCCTCATCATAATTAATCAACTTTAAAGTTCTTGTACGCTGATGGGGACTTTTGACATTAAAAATGCTGTCCAACAACGCTTCTATTCCGTAGCAAATGTGATTGGAGTAGGCTACATCATAACACTCGATGTTGATAACGATTTATGGTACATAATCTGTGACCATAGAGTAATTGTGGTAAAAATTAAGTAATTAAATTCACACAGTGCTTTTATCACTATATATTGAAAAAAGATGAAAAAAAAAACTAAAATTTTGAAAGCGGTATTGTGGCGAGAAATTACTCACCATTGAAGAGCTACCACAAGTGTCACTAGTGTAGACTCCTCCCTTGTACAACGCGAAACTCTGCACAACCTCAAATGCGACGCTCACCGGACGAACCACTCCAACCGCATGCTTCAGCTCATCCTCAGCACCCTACGGAAATCAAAATTAAGTCAAACTCAAAATTGTGGAGGGACTCTCTGCAGTCTGCCCATTGCCAACTGCAGATAGACCCACTGTATTAATTGCTTACCAAGGTGATGTTAACCGAGTCAAGAAGCTTGACCCCAACATTCCCCTGCTTAAAGCTGCAGTTGCCATTAACTGCAGTGTAAGGGTACGATTCCTCCGTGTCAAGGCCGCCATTGTACTTTATGTACTCAAAGGCTTGGGAAGGCAGACCACCGTTACACCCGAAGTTGTTGAACGCAGAGGCGCAATCCACAAGTTGTTGCTCCGAGAGGGAGATGCTCTTTCCCGTCGCTTGTGAGTACGCCGCCTCCAGCGAGCCCGTCGCGCTGCCAATTTTGCAGGGTGAAATGAGATTGAAACTTTAGGACATCAAGGTGTAAGCAAAGAAAAAGGTAACTTTGGAGCGTAAGTTGAAGAAATGGCGAGCACAGCGACAAAGACCGTAAGAAATGACGAAAGAACAGGTTTGGGTGTTGTGCGGTCGACCGCGTGTGGCGCGGCGGTCGCCCGCCAACGTGCACGAGGCTGAGTTCTGTTCTGTATCAAGTCACGGTCGACCTCGCGTGGCGGACCGCCAAAAGTCCAGAGACTCTGGAAAGTTTCTGTCGTTTTCGCGGTCGACCGCGAGTCGGGTATGCAGTTGAGTTTGGTTTTATGACCCGTTTCGTTTTGAGTTGATATATAATCTTAATTCTAATTAATTAGGGTTAAGCAAGGACGTTTTTTGAGCAGTTTTGAGAGGAGATTGTTGCATCCTATGTGGGAGATTTGTGAGAGATCTAGAGAGATTTGTTTTAGGGTTTATTTGGTGAGATTTATAACCCTATTTGTATTCTCTTGATTTCTAATAGTAAAAACTCCATTCTCATTGCCACGTGGACGTAGGCAACTTGCCGAACCACGTAAAATTCATTTGTCTTAATGTGGTATTGTGCTTGGCTTATTGGTTGTGATTTATCTCGTTCTTGTTCGTGTGGTTTCGAGTTCTGCCGCGCACAACATAAGCCTATAGTAAAAATTGTTGAAATGTCAAGGTCGAGAGCACCTGAATGTCCAGCAAGACCCACAACCCCCTTGATCCTTGACGGGGCTGACTATGCCATCCTTTCTCCAGTCTTTCTACGAGGGCAAAATTGGCATTTCACAGAATAAGTATTTGATCACAACCATCCAAAATAAAAATAATAATCATCGGACGGCCGAGGTTAGTCCATACAGTCTCTGGTAGCGGTGCGCTGGTCATCTCATGGTTGCCCTTCAATGTGGCCGAGCAGTTCTGGGCCGCGCCCAAACGGGTCGCCTGAAACTCCTCCCAGCTTAGATCCGCATACCCTGAACCCAGTTACGTAATAGTTATTATAAACCCGAAACCGGATGACGATTAACGGTTGAGATTAATCAATCAAAGAACTTACGGTTGATTCCGAGCTTGTAGGAAAGCTGTTTCCTGTTGGTGGATCGGATTAGATCCAGATTCTCGCCAAATATTTTGAATCTTCGTGTGATCTCCTGCTCCGTTTCGTATTTCTTCTCGTATCTGATCAAGATGGATGAGCATCATCTTTTGTTATAATTCCTAACAAGTTTTTCTAATTCAAATATTTCAAGAGCTAAGAGGTCTATTAACAACCTGAAAGGTGAAATGTGAAAATGTGGGAAAGTTAAAAACTTGTATGCTAGCCGGCAATAAATGCATATTCCATCAGTAATTACATGAAACTAAACATTACATTAGGGCCCGTTTGTTTGCAAAAATTGGAGGGGAAAAGCAGGGGAAAGCCTGCAAAAGTTCTGAAAAAATTAGAACTTTTACAGGCTTTCTTGCAAAATCGCCCTAAATTAGGGCGATTTTGCAAGAAAGCCTGCAAAAGTTCTGACTTTTTTCAGAACTTTTGCAGGCTTTCCCCTGCTTTCCTCCTCTAATTTTTGCATCCAAACGGGTCTCACTTGCATGCTGGTGCAAGGCACTTTGAGTTGGAAAAAACCCGTTCGCATGCCAAACATTCTCTAAAAGTAAATTGAAAACGGAAGATAGGCATAGATCTGTAATGAATATATTGGAAGTTTTTCAGAAATAATCTGTGATATCTAACTTTTGTTAGGGATTAAAACTACAGTTATTCGCCTATAACGCAATGTTTTATCCCCATTATTTTAGGTTAATTAAGTTGTACATAACCTCGCCGGTCTACACTTTTGAGTTACACTAAACCCTCCTGATCAACTTATTGCTAAACCCTCTTAACTTACTTACTAGTCTTAGCACCCTTGAAATGCCAATTATAGAAATATAAACTGGATGTTTCTCATGTATGGAGAGAGACTAACTGCTAATATTTGAACTTCAGGAAGATAAATTAATTACCGTATATTTTAATACCCAACCGCTTCCTAGGTCACTCCTAAAATCAAAACACTAAAACTCAGATTATCTTCGAAACTACTCTGTATTTTAGCAATTTGGTATGGACAAGAATATAATTATAACTTGAGTAAAATATATAAAACATTCTTTCAGTTTATACTTTCGAGCAAATCGAGCAAAGTGAAGGGCGTCTGGAGTCCGGCCGAGGACCCGAAGAAAGGAGTTTTCAAGGGATCCTTCCCCATTCACAGCGGGTGGGATCGTGAGTTCCTTGTCAACCTGCGACCCGGCGGCCGCAGCCGAGGAAGCAAAGGCTACTGCTAGTAAGAAAATCACTGCCGCGAAGAGAGACATGTTGAGATTTGTAGGATTAAGATTGTTTGATTGCGGAGTTAGCGGAGTGTGAGATGGTTTTATAGAGGATAATCGGCGCTAATGACGCATGCAAATGATTAAGGTTTTTTTTGGATACAATGTTGTTTTCCTTGTGTTTTCATAAAAAAACAATATGGTGTTGTGTTTTTCTCTTAAAATATTTTTAAAACACCATGTTAAGCATTTTTCGTCAACACTAGTTCGACTCATTATAACATTAGTATTAAACATATTATTAATATATTATATATTAATTATAATAAAATATATTATAAATAAAATATTATAATATTTAGTTTACATTATTATAGTATTATAAGTATTAAATGTAATGCAATATAATATTGTATAATGTATTATAATATTATATTATACTTTAATGAGTTATATTATATTATAATTAGTATTAAATTATAAAGCATTACATATTATTTTCAAATAAATTATAATATTTAATATTATTTTGGTATATTAATTTTTTTATTATTAATATATTATTTTAATATTTTTATAATATTATTATTTATTATTGAATATAATATTATACTATTTATCAATATAATATAATAGTATAATATTATTCATTAATATATATATATTAATAATGTTAATATTATGTTAATACTAGTATGTTATTAATAAATTAAAATATATTAATAAATATTTTTAATATTATATAACATATTATAGTTTTTAATATGTTAGAGTTTTTACATAGTACTTTTATATATATTAGTATTTTGATATATAAATATTATTATATTACGAATATATTATTTTTACATTAACATTTGTTCGGGCAATAAATTATTTTACTTTATAATAAATTGTATTATTTATTACATAATATATAATTATATTTTATATATTATATTATATTTACTATAAAATATTGTTTATTATAAGAATATTATTATTTCTTATGTTATTATTAAATATGTTAGTAATTATATAATATTTTTTATTATTAATTTATTACAATTTATTTATTAAAAAAGTTAATAATATTATAGTGACTATACTATTGTATAGTATATTATTATATTATTATTATTTATAATTAAATAACTTTTTTATTAATTTATATTAGTTTTATTTATATTTTTATTATTTATTTATTATATAATATATTAGTAATATATTAAATATTGGTATTTAATATGTTATTATATTGTTATATAAGATATTTTATTTATTATATTTTTATATTATTTAATAAGTATTACTAATATATTAAATTAACTATAATATAGTATAGTATATATAGTACAATATAATAAGTATGTTGATAATAACTCTATATTAATTATATTTAATATATTATTTTAGATATTATATTAACACATACTCAAACTCAAAATCAAAACACCAAACTTAAAACACTTTGAAATAAGTGTTGTATTTTTTGTTTGAGAATGATTTAACTCAAAAAACATCATAGTTTCCAAACGTATGGTGTTTTGTTTTTGGCGAAAACACTATGAAAACAAGTAAAACACCATGGTATCCAAATGGAGCCTAAGTAATTTCCATTTCGGTCACTGTTAGGAGCGCTAATGATTCCGAGAGCCCGATGATTACCGGACAACATAGGTAGTTTTCAAGAGAAACATTGAGTTAAAAAAATATAGGTATATAAAGGCTAAAAACAAATATCTAGTCATGCGAAGACCTCAATTTAATTACCAAAATATCAGCTAAGGACGAGAAGTGGGTGCTAAAGTTTGGAGGGCAAATGTGGTAAACGCGATGCAGACCAAAAGAGCCGGCGAGATTCTTACGCTGATGTAGGGACCCAGCTGGAGCTTATAACGTCGACGGCAAAGGGGACTTGTACACGTGTCGCGTGTCGATTGGGTGAGCGCTTCTATTTTTTTGTTATTTGCGAACTTGGGATGTGTGCGTTCGTTTTCTTTATTTGGGTATTTTTTGTTCGTTCCGTTTTGAGAGAGAGACCCCGCGAACTGATCCACCAAAATGCGGCTCGAGACTTGAGACGAAGTCCGCCTACGTTAGAGGTTTTGAATTGGAATAATAATAATAATAATAATAATAACGTCCAAGATTCCAAGATTTTTTAGGTCTTCTTCGGATTGATGTGAATCATACTTCTTTTAAAAGCAAGAATTCTAATTTTTTTTCATGGTCAATATTATTCATCACTGTTTTGAATATTTTATTTATATCTTAATCTATCCTAATTATAATTATATCATATCCTAATATTACGCGAACAATCAATAGCTCAACAATTTTAAAAAATATTAATAAAATATATAAAATAGCTTTACGGTATTAAATTGTTAAGATAAAAAATTATATGTAGCTAATATACTATAATACATGAAATATTGCAAAAAATTTTAAATTACACAAAATATCCTAAAAAATTTAAAATTATAAAAAAACATCCGAACATTTCAAAACTTAAAACAACATTAATCAATAAATTAATAGCAGTCTATGAAGAATCTAAAATTTACAATTAACACTTGAATGTCTTAAAAATTATAGAAACACCCTCAAAAATTAAATTTTAAATAAACACCCTAAAATTTTTAAAATTTCATAATTTTTAAACAACATAAATAAATTCAATGGATTACCATGATGCACCTGAAAATTTTTAACATTTTAAACTTAGAACAAAAAAAAATTAACAGGAGCCTTTGAAGGCTTTAAAATTTCCTTAACACCTTCAAAGTCTTAAAAATTATAGAAACACCACTGAAAGTTCAAATTATAAAAAACCACCATAAAATTCTAAAATTTTAAAATTTGCAAACAACAAAAGATGAATTCAAGAGATTACCTTCATGTACCTAAATTTTAAAATTTACCAAATTTAACCTTAAAGTTATAAAAACTACAACAAAAGATTTCTTCAAAATTTAAAAATCGCAAAAAACTCTAAAATTTCAAAATTACTAACAAGTACACATAAATCTGGAAATTATTGCAAACCGCTAATATTTGAGTTTTTCAAAAATTAATATACAATTTTAATAATTACAAAAAGAATGCTTAAATTTTTAGAGTTGTAGGAAATATTCTGACATTTGGAAATTACTACCGACACATGAAACATAGAAGTTACAACTGCTAAACTTAAAATTAGTTTTTTTAAAACACTCCCAAAGTTTTACAAATTACAAATCACACACTAAAGTTCAAACCCACAAAAAAGGGCTTAAAAGTTAAAACTTGGTAAAGAAATGTGTAATTATTTGGTATTCATTGTCACCATATAAATCAAAGTAATTGCATGTAATTTTACTAATAAGTTGGAGCAGTAAAAATACATTAGTAACATTTAACTAATAGATGTTTAAATCCATAAAAATGATAAAATAATATAATATAATAGCTTAACATCTATATTGGTTATAATTTAGAAACATTAATCTCTGATGTTAGTAATATTTATAAAGTAAAATAATACAATGAATTACATATGAAGAAACTATCACAATATTCGAAGATATCATTCAAAAGAATCAAGTTATTTTCATTGCAAATGGTAAAGCGACAGAAATAAATTGAGAAAACACCGAGTGTGTTTCATTGAAGAATAATTTAACAACTTTATCTCAATTAAAGAAGAATTCTCCATGGAAGATATAAGAAAAATTAATAAGCATTAATAAAATTTATACTTTGTTCTTCAAATACTAAAGAATTTAAATATTAATACTATAATCTAAGGTAAATTGATAATAAAAATGCAGGTATTTAGTTAAGATCTTTGTGAAAAATGATAGGGATAGAGAAAAAGTAACATTATTGACACAATAGAAACTCTTATTGGATGCATATCAAAAGAATTCATTGTAGATAAAAAAATGGTAGATTTTAATCTTATTTAAGTAATAAATTTGGAACACAAATAATTTTATATATATGAAATTAAAATTATTCTCATTGAAATAGGAAAAAAATCAAAGTCTGTATTTCAAGAAGTTTGCGTTGAACATCAGAAATACATTCAACTTCTTTGTAAAGTTAAACGAGAAGATAAAAAAATAACGAGCTTAGTAAAGATAACAGTGCAAAAATATAACTCTAGCCTGATGTCACAATCAATAAAGATGATGAAGATACTATTCTAGAATTGCAGGGGAAAAAGATAAATGTGAAGAAGAATTGATCTTAGCTCAATAAAAAAATAAAATAAAAAGAAAAAAACAATATTTTCTAAATATTTTATAGAACAGTTTAATTGTTTTGAGTGAAACTAAGAATCTTTAGAAGTGAGTTTCATTAACTTTTTTCAATACTTTTATATGCTTATGTGGATGCTTTTATCATATAAAAATATACTAGAGTTAGCATTAATATTTAGTTTATAAAATTTTATAAAGTCTATTAATGATTAGGAATAAATTTTATTTTCTCTTTTGTATTGTTTTAACATACTTTTAAGCAATCACATTGCCTTATTAGTTTTAAATATTAACTTTTCTTATATAACATTGTTTCAATATTTTTCACTTTCGCAACAATATACTTTCTCAAGTAAAGTTTAATTTTTTATTAGTCCAAATAATATGAAAATTTAAATTAGCTTCAGATTATATTTGTTTTCTATCAATTCAAATATCAACATGAAAATTTAAATTAGATATAGCCCATTTAAACATCAAAGAAAATAAATAATCACAATGTTAAATTTTAGAGACAAAAGTAAGCACAAACTATTAAAGTGGAACCGATGAACAAAGTTTAGTTAGAAAAAAAAATCAAAAATACTTAATCATGATTCTACCACGTGCATTGCACGTGTATAAAAGCTAGTAGGGGGAAAAAATGAGGTAGGGAAGATTATTCATTCTGGTTGGATACCTTTTAAAGGATAGGGTGTTCCCCCTAATTCACCTCCAACAATATAATTTTTTTTCTTTCTAGCGAATTGGGTGAATCTGAGGAGGATAAAACTCTTTCTTTATCCTCTCTTCTCCATTTTTTTCTTAACTTTCCCA